GGGTTTGAACCACCAGCCTTCTGGTTAACAGTCAAGTGCCTTGGGCACTACACTATCAGAGCTCCTACAGGTCTCATACTGTTCCTTTATTCCAAAAAGGAAATTTCTCCAGGAATAAATGCTAACTTTGCCTTTAAAAAATAAATAAATAAATCCTCTGGGTGTTGTTGAAATGATTTGTTTTTTTTCCACGATGAAGTTTACCTCTTCCTAAACACTCAGAATAAAACTTTCAGCAGGGACCTGTCCCAGGAGCTTGTTTTGTGCTCCACCTGGACCAACAGCACCTGTAACAAAGCAAAGCCCCAATAAATCACTTAGGCTCGCTGTGGCGGCAACTTGCCCCTTGGAACCAGCTCTTCACACTTGCACACATACAGCCTACATGCCAAGCTCCACAACATAAAATAGAAGCTGAAATTGGAATTTGTTGTAATTTGCCATTGGTTGAATAATCCCCTCTAGAAGAGCAGCCTGAAGCCATGGAGATGCTATCTTGCAGGAGTAGCCTTTGTGTGCCTGGGAAGCACACGCTGCACTCAGTGTCGGCTGCCTCTGTAGCCTCTTTGATATTTATAGAACATGACAGCAAACAGAATGGAGACTGGCCACTGCAAAGAGAGTAATAATATGCAATAAGGCAGTTTTTCTGAGACTCAGGCAATAATCACTCTGAACTGAAATCTCATTAGCCACTTCTTGAATACAGCACCAGAGGGGATGTGTGAATACCTGCTCTGTGAGTGTTTGTACTCTTTGTCCTAGCAACATCATTGCCAGGTACTACATAGCATAGTCTTATTTTATTGTTTTCCTATTGATATGTTTGCTATGCTACAACTAGACTCCTGGACAAAGAAAGATGAAACAGATGAAACACCACCGCTGATTGTCCTGTAACTAAAAATCATTGTGTTTTACTAAAGGGAATGTATGAAGCAGAGCATTATAAGCTCCCAGTGAGACTTACATTTCTCTACTTCATACATTCCCTTTACTAAAACACAGTGATTTTTAGTTACAGGACAATCAGCGGTGGCATTTCTGGGCACCTAGCTTAGACTGCTTAGTGTAACTTCTGATGTGGTCCCCTTTGAGTACAAGCTTTTTTTTCCCCCCCTCTTTACTTTTTTTGGTGGAGATGGGGTAGGGCCCTGCTTCATAGAGAAGCAGTTCTAATGCAAGCCCTTATTCTCTTTGATTCCTTTTATTCCACACATTTCGCAAGAAAGAAACAGAAGTGTCCCTCCTCATTGTCTTCCAAATCTGTCCATTTAATCCCTATTACTTTACTAAAAGCAGGAAAACTAGCATAAAAAAAAAAATTGTTCTAGCAATAAAAGTAGAAAAAATATTAATAGCAGAAATAATAGTAGCAGTAGTAACCATAACTTTTTTTCCACTGGGGACTTTCTAGATGCAGAGATCTTCCTAAGTGGTTTCTGTGACGTGTCTCATTTAATTCTCAGAATTCATAGTGGGTATTTCCATCTAGAATTGCCTTCCAGCTTCACCTGCATTTATCTACACATTCTTTAAGGCTCAGCTTGGGTTGCTCCTTCCATGAAGCCCCTCTTGACTTATCCCTCCTCTGTGTCCCAGTAGTGTTATGAGTTGTATTTCTTTTCCTGCCTGCCATTTAATCCAACTCTATTTTAAACTGTTACTTAAATAAATATGGACAGTCGTTAAGTGCCTTGAGTGAAAAAATGCCTGATGTTTGATTCAGAGCTCAGCACCTTGCTTGACATACTGCATATACTCAACAAACATTTATACATAAGTGAAGTGTGATATCTGTTTCTGTCAATGCTTACGTTGAATCAAAATGGGTACTAGAAAGCTCACATTCTCAACAGAGGTAGGGGGTCTCATTAACCACAAGTTCACATGTCAGCCTCTGTCTTGCCTGGCCTCTGTCAGCTGTGCTGATGGAAGTCCTTGTCTGCAAGCATGATCAACTTATCCTTATCCCATTTTTAAGCCAAGTGTGATGAAGATAAGTGACATATTCCAGAGGGTGGGCTATAAGATTAGTTGGGGAGACATAGGTCAATCAATACCCAGTACCTGGTTAAGCCCTGAGGAAGCTGTACCCAATTTATTGTGGCCTTACCTATTCTCGATTGCCTTGCTCAGTCCATATACCTGAGTCTCTAATTCTAGTTCTTCTCTGGACCCCAAAGCCTTTTTGACTGGACACAAAATATCCCCGTCTAGATCTTACTAGCCCTGCTTCCTAGGCTGAGAGCTTTTTCCTCTGTTCCACCTCGAAATTCTTGTTTCTGCTTCCCACTGCTGTTACCTGCTCTGCAGTCCTGAGCACAGTACACTCCTTGGATGTCAGCAGCAAAATCAGGGGTGAGTTTTTCTCCTTCTTCTATCATGGGCTTCCTGTGTGTAACACTATGTGGTCCTAGATTCAAGGTTCTCAGCTCAGACTCTAGTTTCCTTTCAGTTTCCAACTTCTTATTCTTTCAAGGTCCCAATCAGCTGACCTTCTCAAGGAATTTATATGGGCTTCTGGAAATTTTTGAGAAAGATGAAAACTGGCTCATCAGAAAGTGAATGGGGGATCTGAATATAAAACAGTCCAAATGGAAGACAAAGAGAAAATTCTTCATACAAAAGCCCTTAATTTAGCCCATGAATTCACTAGCAGTGTTCCCTTAATTTCTCATTCTTTATGACGAGAAACCAAATTTTAACTAACTGGGAGGGAAACCCATCTGAATTAGTAAATTCTCTAAATTATAAAATAATGCAAATGAAGCTCAGTTTTATTACTCTTAGGTGAGGAGAGAAGTGTGAACCAAGATTGCTAAATATTACCTAATGAGAATCTTTTATTGAATCTCCTTCAGTGGGTAGTTACAAAAGATATGTGATTAATCTAACTATTGTTTATATGTAAATGGTAGCATTTAAGTGCTTGAGGGAGATTGGACACCGTTTGTTCACTTTGT